AATTCTCAGCGCGCCGACCACCTTTTTGTCATCCGTGTTCAACGCGTTCTCATTTTGATTCTTTTTAATTCCCCGACTGGTCGATATTCTTTCTTTCATCCCGTCCACGGGCGCAAATAATAATGGGTTCAATATCACTGTGTTCCGCCCGTATGTAGACCCATGTAGTTCTACATAGTTGAGGGGACTCTACATAGTTCTATGTAGTTCGGGGGGTTTTATGTAGTATCGCGCATCTTCCTTCTCGGTGTGCCACCGTCTCTTTTTCTTTCTCCAATGCATTGCCTCGCCGTTTCAAAGCAGCCTAACCGTCATTGTTTTTTCATCCGAGTCAACTTCATAGTAACCGTATAACACCTCAAGCCGTCGGGTCTCGTGCCACAGTCTCCTTGCTCTCCGTGCCCGATGCCCCAGCAAGGCCCGTCCGATAATCAAGTCTTGGTGTCCGCAGAAAAAAAGAAAAGCACGTCGCCGGTGCTCCCTCATGAACGCCTCACTCTCGCCGTCTCAACACGCCTCCTCTCGCTCCTCCTGCCGTCCTTTTCTTGATCTCCCCGGACCTCTCCGAATCAACGAACCCAACCGCGGCTGGCTTCTGTCCACGAAATCCGTCAGACTGCTTCGTTCCTGCGTAACTTGACGATCTGCGGGAGGGAAATCGTCCAACGCTAGGCGTCTGCAAATCTGGGCGCTGTTAAAGGTCAGTTTGCTTCTTTTTCTTTGTCTGCGACGATAAGCACCGTCCAATGTTGTCCAGATATCTAGAACTTTGCAATATTCTTGCGGAACTCGCTGGCTCGCGTTGACGAAAGTCTCCTATGAAGGTCCTTAGGCCATCCTACTTCATTCATCACGTCGTACCACAAATGAAAATAATTTCACCACAGTAACGACACCCTTCGCCCTAAACTCAGACACATTCCAAGATGGGCTCAATCGGATAAGAAGTCACCCACCGATCAGTGGGAATCGGACCGTACATCCATCCTGCCTCGTGTTCTCCGCCTGTTCATTTTCTGCCCTCACTCTCGCCTCCATGGCATCCAACGCCAACGGGAAGGGCCAAGCCGGCGCTCAGCCCAAGTACGTTGTTCCCCATTCCTTTCACGATCTGCTCAGCTCGCTCATATTCCGCGCAGATATATAAATGATTTCAGCAGAGCCCTTGCGGGCGAGGTCAAGATGCTCCTCGCCGAGGTCGGGAAGCTGCGCGATGAGAAGCGCGCGTTGCAATTGTGCGCTTCGTTTCTCCCCCCAGTGCACGTTTCGACCCTTCCCACGACGACCTGATGCGCCCCCGATAGCGAGATCGCAGAGTTGATGAGCATCAAAGCCAAGCATAGCGCGGACGGCGTGTATGATCCCGGATGGGCCCCGCCCGTACGCTGTTCCTCCTCTTCCCAAATGCGCCTAGAATAATGCATTCCAGCCTGCGCCGGAGCCCCCGGCCCCAGAAGAACCAGCGGCACCGCCCGCACCCGCGCCAGGCGGCTGGCGGACCGTTCACGCTCCGCACGGGCAGCGGCGCAAGCTGCTGCGCGCAGCCGCGGCAGCAGCGCCCGCACCTGCGCCGCCTCCCCCGCCACCTCCCGCAGCGCCGGAGTTGCCTGCGTGGGCTCAGTGGCGGCGTACGTCCACGCCCCTCTCTCAAATCGCAGTGACTCATCGAACTTTCGTTCATCCAGCTAACCCCCTGCTTGCGCCGGGAACCGCTGCGGGTCCGAGTGCCGCGTCGGTGGTCGTTCCACCGCCCAGGTCGGGGTTGTTTGGTGCGTATCTGAACTTGCGGCGATGGCCTGCACTGAATTATTGTGCGCACGTTTCCTGTAGGTGCGCGGACGCCGCCGCCGAAGTAATCACCCGGTAGTGATTTGAGGTAGTAGTTTTCTCGGTTTAGTTTCCTTGGTTTCTTGGATGATAGCACTCGAGGTGTTCGGTATCGCTTCCGTAGTCATATGAATGAATTGTCCTTCCTTGCTTCCCAAACCAAAATGCAAACACAAATGGACCGCGTTTGAGCCACATAAAATAAACAGCACGATCCAGAGTCACCGTCTGAGAATCATCCAAGGGACCCGCGAGATGATGTAATTTGCCTTTGCCCGGATCCTCTAACGTCTGTGCCCAGAAAATTAAGATCAATTGTATGGATAGCGGAAACAGGACAAGGAAAATGAACTCGACAAACTCAACTCCCCATTAAACACGTCCATATCCACCGTCGGCCAAGAAGGGCTTCATCCGCTGGACGATGGCGTCCAATCCAGCAAGCCACCGCTTTAGCTCTTGCTCGAATTTCTCGGTATCCCCACCCTGCGATATCTGGGCGTAGAAGTGGTCCCGGCGCGGGACTGCGCGGATGGCGAGCTGCATCGGAAAATAAATGAGGCGGGGGAAATGAATTTGGGAGGTAGGACCTACGGTGACGACAGAGCGGACGACGAAGGTGTGGTGATGGCGGAGGACAACGTCGTAGGCCCGCCGGAAGCAAACGTGCAGTGCGCAACCGGGCTCCGATTGTGTCGTTTGCAGTGCGAGGCAGGTGAATGCGAGGCCGCTGTTAATAATCACGATTTATTAACGCGAAAGGGGTTTTTATTGTATCAAGAGGCTTACCGAATGAGCCGAACGAGGCACTGGGTTCCGTGTTTTGCACCCTGCGCCTTTTCGTGCCGCACGAGATCCTCGAGGGTGGTGGATTCTTCTCGGGTCGCGACATAGCGTTCACGCACGCCCTGTGTACGTGAAGATTTGACCCCTGAGATAACCCGCAAGGAAAATGAAGTTTTAGCGTACGGCAATGTTGCTCTTGATATCTGCCTGCACGAATCCGAATACGCCGGCGCCCAAGAGGTCTGATGGAAGTCAATAAGAATAAGCGTGAATTCGAGAGCGTACCGAACATGGCGACGAGACCATCGGACGCCTGCAAGAATTCATCTGTCGCCACTCCCACGTCTGTAGTTGGAACATCTGCGAAGGACTACATGCCACTCGTCAGCGCAGAGTAGCTCCGAGAAAAAAATGCGGCAGATACCTTGACGGTTTCGAAGTATGGTACCATGGTGTCCTGAGGGCTGGACGTGAAGATGGAGAGGTTAGAGGGGTTCTATAGCCCAAATGCCGTGCGGCCCAGGCGTGCAACACCACTCGCGATTCGCATGCGGCGACGTTGCGGGCAAGGGCGAAGCTTCGGGTACAAACGGCATCTCAACCGATCATCGATCCACGTGTTAGCGCCCGGACCGGGCCGGCCCTCTCGTCCCACCATCATCTCCGATTTTTGCCTCGGTTGAATTCGACAACCTGTGTGCTGTTCCTCGGTCGTAAAGAATCATATGACTAGGCTCAGCTGAGCATTTACTGGCCTCTGTGCTCCGTCTAGAGAGAATCTTCCTGTCAAAAGGACGTTCTGTCTTTCCCTACAATATCAAGAAAATCCTTCTAGTTGGGCAGATCCCTCTATTTTCCTCTAGGAATATTTTATTCGCAGGTATATACTCATAATCACAGCGCCGTAACAAGAAAATAATGCTCTCGGTCTCCTACAAAGCGCGCATCCACAACCACATCCAGCGTAGAAGAAGAAAAGTCTACCACTTCCTACACTTCCTACACGCACCCAGTCGGAGTCGAACGGCGTTGTCTGCTGAATTCTTTCGCCCACCGATTAATGGAAGCAGATGCACGCCGCGTGCTACCAGGTGCGGTACTTATCTTCCTGGATCCCTCTGGTAGGTAGGTATCTGGAAGGGATAGTATTTGCATCGCAGAACACCAGCAAATCCGACGGCTTGATCTTGGGAGGGAAACCGGACTCAAAATCCATGTTATGCACATGCTGCTCAACGCTAGCGCTCAACAGCGAAGAATATGTACGACTGAGCTTCAACATCCGAATTTCTCGCTCGATAGCCGGAACGAGCATTCCCCGTGACGGTCCCGCCGGGAAAGGCACCCAAGGAACCGTCAAACAGCCCCCGATGTGACTCCTACAGTTTCGGTCCGAATTTAACCGTGCGGTTTAATCGCTCTTTTAGCGGCAGCGACGTTCATCGAAAAATAACAACTCTCCCCGCCGATAGCACCTACTAGTAGCCCGAGTCCAACTGGAAAGTCTGCGTACACAAGAAAGCCCTCTGGAGTAAGCATTGGAAGCAGATGCAGGGGTGTGCTGCTGCGTGCGGTGCTTATGCTCATCTTCCTTGTTCCTTCTGTGGCCGGGACGAAATTTCGCATCGCAGGCCACCAGCAAATTCAAGTGCTCGCTTCCATCTTGGAAAAAGAACTCCGTCTCTGGGCTGACCCAAAATCCATGCGATGCGAAGCGACTTAACAGCGAAGACTAATCTACGACTGGAGCTCAACGTCCGAAGTTTTGACTCGATGCCCCGAAACCACCATCCCCTCTAGCGTGACCGAGAGAAGAAGCCACACCCAGGAAAGCACAAACAACCCCGACGTAATTGCGACAGTTGGGTCCAAATTCACGATGCAGCTTCACAGGATCGTAGCCCGCTGGAAGCATCCAGCCCGAGTCGAACGGGTTGTCTGCTGAAATGCGCTCGCGTAAGCCCTATTGAGAACAGATGCACACCGTGTGCTACCGAGTGCGTTGCCTATACTTCTCATTCACTACCTACTACGAATAGAATTTACGCTGCAGGGGGGTTCGCGTGCCACTGGTATTTCTGACTATCGGCAATGCGACCAAGAACGAGTGCAAAAACATAAACTGTCTAGAAGATGTTGATGTCGTGTGCTTGCTACCAGAGACCTCAACCAAAAAGCGCCGCGAACTCCACACCGCACCCAGCCCGAGTCGAACGGGGTAGTCTGCGTACACAATGCGCTGGTGCAAGACATCGGAAATAGATCTAGAAGATGCACACCATGTACGACGAGGTGGGTGCCCACAGTATCCTGGTTTGCACCGAGTCAGTACCGAGGGGGGGAACAGCGACAGCTCGTGGATGTTTACACAAAAATAAAAAGTTCGCTGGACCCACAGGGGTTTGAACCCGGGACCGCTCACAGGCATCGGAAAAATGCAAAGCAAGAATGCTACCACTGCACCATAAGCCAACGTTGGCCGCATTTCGGAGGCCACTAGAGCCAACATGTTTCAATGATGAAGACAACCTCGCAAGCTCAAACAATTGCAAGGGGTTGGAGGTGCAGAAAGTGTCGGATACCAAAATCAACACATACATCACAATTAACTCCAAGAACAGATATTACATCCCGTAACCTGCACTTTTTCTGTACCCCGGATACTGGTTCAGCGACTCCAGCTTCATCGCTTCTAGCGTCGGACAAGCCAATGCCAGTATCTGCTCCCCAACTACCGCCGCAACATGTGCGAGTAGATCTGCCAGAATCGCCTCCAGATTGGCAAGAATGCTGGGGATCAGGATTTGCGCGAGTTGGAAGGCAAAGCACGCGGCGTTATTTCCGAACAACAGCGATTCGGCACTGTATACTCCGTGTGTGAAATCTGTGGTGTTGAGTGGGATGAAGGAGTTCACTTGTCCGGTGTTGCCTCCAATGATGAGCGTTTCAGGGTATTTAGCCCACATCCGGAGTAAGTCGGGGAGGCCACGCGTGAGGTCAACGTAGGGGTCGTCGCGCGGCCGAGCGAACCATCCCTCTGGGATCCTCTCGTTGCGGGTGTATCGAAATTGACCGTCACCCCGCGGGTCATTCCATACAGCGATGATAGTCCATCGACGTCGATGTAGCCATTCGGATACTCCGCCGAGTGGTTTGACATCAGAGCAGGAATGAGGGTGTGGGTAATACATGAGACGAGCTGCGTTGAATTCGCAAGGAGAATTTTTCACCGTGAGGAGTCACACATACCATTTGCACTGGGCCATAGAAGAAAAAAGGGTTGTTTTGGACCGAATGGCGGAAGATATTCACGCGATGCTGAACGATAATGTCAAAATTTGCACTGGGATCTGGGTTCTGTTCGAGGAGATTGATCAGAGCTGCGAAGCGATCTCCCTGCGGAGTGTAATTATCAGCGCTAATTCACGTCAGACATGCACAATTAACGGGCTATTGTATGTTGCCCACCATCCTGGCTCATAAAGATCACATCGGGTGGGAGACGAGGCGGACTCGAACTGATTATGCGTGCCAGAAAGACCACTCCCTTTGCCTGAGGGGTATTAGAGCACGTACCAAGCAACGACGTTCGTTCCCACCGAAAATTATTCCAAGTACTCCTCCGAGTCCCCCGGGTGACTTCCCGATTGAAATGTCAAGAAGAGGGGGGTTCGCGCCATATAATGAGAGAATGCCCGCGACAACACCCGTGTCAGGGCCGAAACCAAAAACTAAATCGATTAAGCACAATCACGAGTGCTTGAGGGACCAACGCACCTTCCAACGACACAAGGATCGCGCCTAGAATGGAGACAAACCCGTTGTGCGGAATGTAGTTGTGGTTTGCGAGAGCATTTAACCCAGGGCAGGGACCCCTTAAACCTGAGGTGGCGGCTGGCACGAATTTATGGGCGCCCGTTGTAGAAGTATGGGTAGGTCTCCTGGTAGACCAGAGTGGTGTCAAGGTCATGTCGGCCGGATGTCGAGGCTTGAGGTAAAAATGAGTGTCGGGGCTGGGAAATAACCAAAGTAGGCGTGGATCAGGTAATAGGGAAGGTAAAATGAGAAACTTAGCTTAGAAAGACTCAAAGGAACGTGGATTCGCGCGAAGTACTCAGCAAAAGCGTAGATTCGACGTGGTGGTAAAGGATAAAGAGAGAAGGTAACGTAAAACGTCCGGTGCAAATAAATAAAAATCCCCATATGTAAGTTAGTCCGTGAAAAGCCGCTGCTAAAGTTGAACTTTCGCCAAACGAACGATCCGGGAACTACGCAAAGACGGAATAGGGAGAGCACGTCCCCCGCAAGACGCTGACATGTGGGTGCCCAAGCCACAGTCGGCTCGATCCCCGGCGTAGTCCGAGAAGGCCGATGGTTCGGGTTCCACTCGTCGCGTTGGCGGTACGTATGAGGAAATGGAGAGAGTCTGTGGTGTATGAGGTGAGTGAGCAAGGAATGTGAGGTAGAGTGTTAAATGTCTGTAATGTAATATTTGGCAGATAAATGAATATTTGTACTTGAACTGTTCGGTTGAATGACTTGAGCGTAAAATATGTAGTGTCCTGTTCGCTGAGAGGTGAAGAAAATCTGGGGGTATGAGAGTGAAAAAAGTGAGTGTAAATGCAAAACAAGTGAAATGTATAGGATGTGTGAATAAAATAAACTTGAGGGGTACTATATCGCGCCGGGAACCTGGCCACCTAAGGGTTTTCGAGCTGTTCTCGCCTTAATATAGGCTTCCTCTGGGCGGCGCCTTGACCCATGCGATAGGCGCGCATCTTGGGAAGATATCGAGCATATTCTCAGAATTCTTCACCCTGTTTTGAGCACAATACGAATATAATTGTTCGGGAGTTCCCAAAAGGGGAAATAATGGGGAAGCTGGCCACGACGAATATATCATTATTGCGGGCCATTACACGCCCGCGATCGGGACTATTTTGCATAAGGGGTTCATATCATGTATTCCGGTCACATTCATTGTGCATTGAAGGGCGTAAATCTGTGTTAAGATGTAGTTTATGACCCCAGTTGGAGCTTGGAAGGCCTCCCGAGATTTAAACAACGCTGGGGCACCAGTGTTAGGACATGGTTGGCCAAAATAAGCTGTGGGGAGGTTCATTGGAAGTTAACGAACATACCTGACCACAGAGTTTCACGTCTGAAGGGCTCTCCAGAGAACCCGGCGTTTGATCTTTTTTCCGGGGTGAAAAGTGTTCTTTTATACCTTTTCCCACACGGAGCAAGACAGTGATTGGTTGGCCGAGTGTGTAGTCTGCTATATTGAAGTTTGACCCAATATAATGCCCTGAACAAAACTTGAAGAGTGTCTTCTGGACGAGCGCGTCGGTATCTTGAGTTGGAGATGGAGATCAGTAAGTCTGAGCAGCAATCATACCAGCAGACTGGTAGGTGTCTGCGGCAATTCAAAGCGTAGACCGGACGTCTATGACAGAACCCGACGTTGGGAGAAAATTTAGAGTGCTTAATCTCGTGAATTGGTGAAGGATTGGATGAGAAAGAGACGAAATAGTCGCGCGGAGTTAAGGAAATTGATTTTCTCACCCTCCAACGGGAATCAAACCGGGCACAGCCTTTCATCAACTCATCATTTTTGGTTGAAAATCAGTCTCAAGGTGCACAGTGGGTCACAGTCCACCATGGAAGCACAAGGGGAAAGTATTATCAAGTCCTGGCCCTTGTATTTCACGACTGGCCAGCTTCCTAGTGTGGCCAGCTTCCCAGCGCGATATAGTATTGTGTTGAGAAACTTGGTTCGAGTGTGAAATTGGCTCCTAACTCGAAGGCGATGAGCGGGGCGAGTCGCACTTCCATACTGTAACTTGGAGGAGCTGGTTCGTATTGAATGTTCCTGTGTCTCGCGCATGCTGAGGCGGAGAACTCGAAGCAACGCTGATGATACAGACGAGGGCGAGAATTATCTGGCACATTGTGGACGGCGAGAGGTGGGAGTCCCGTCCAGTATAATAAAGAGGTTCAGCCGCCGCAGCACCATGCTCCATGCAGCGTCTTTCGAACCATGAGTATAATGAAACGCTAGACGCACATCACCCGAATAAACCGAACAAGGAGTTTTACCGTTGGAGGCAATGTAGTTCCCTAGAGTGCAGCGCGGTTCAGATCTATGGAACCAAGTGTGGATAAGGTGACGTCGCGGACTTGGAGAGAAGAAAATCTCAGTACAAATGGTCATGCGATCGCATCGACGAGGAGTAATGCTCGAGCCTAACTGCTTTGATCAAATGAGAAGTCCGAGCTCCCCGTGAACTTCGCGGCTTTGTCGAATAGGGGGCGAAGCGACGAATGTACCGGGGTTGGGGCCGCTTCCATGCGTCGTTCAGGGATTCGCGATTGAGGAAGCACGCCAGGTCGGCAGAGGTCGGCAGATAACACATTTCCTAAGGTAAAGCAGGGGTCAGTCGGACTCAGTCAGTCCGCTTAGCAAAAAAGTGAAGAGCAAATAGTCGCACCTCGATACCGCACTCGAGGTTGCGTTCCACCCAAACACTCCAATCCAGCCAGCTTGTTAACTTCTGCAGCTTGACGCGCCAATCATCGATAACACTCGTAATATGCGCTGATAATGTGGTGCCTGTGGCAACGGGAACCAGCGGGTCGAGCCCCACCTGAACGCCGTGAACCCATACTACCCGAGTCACGACGCGGCATATCTCGCCAGTCATCTCCTCCAGTGCGCGTAACAGGACAACCTCTGAAGTGGCAATTAAGCCCGCGCCCATGAATATGCGGCTTATGTTGTGCGGAGCAGGCTTGCCAGACTGGGTTAGCCCACGAATCGTTTAACGAAGCGGCAGTGTTAGCGTTAGTGGGGATCGGACGCGCGGTGATTGAAGGGGTATACGGCGCCAGAATTATACGGAGCTGCGTCTGATTATCTGCTCACGATCGTCAATATAAAAGCTTCTTGAAGTAAGCTGGTCGGGTTTTAAGTTCTACCACCGGCAGGGAGTGCGTAGGAGGATGTAGACGCGAGAACGTGTCGTCGCGCCACAGGCAGAGCCCGTCTTCCTCGATGTAATCTGCGTTCGCGCGGGCGATGCTCGGCGCCCCCGGGAATCGCCCAAGATTATGATCATGTGCACTGACTCGAGGGGTGCAAAATGTTCAAATTTCAACCACAGAGATGAACTGAGGGATTCAGGAAGAATTAGCCGCAACGACAAGAAATATTGCTCGAAGGAATCAGTCGCATCTCCGGTGCAGGTTTTAGCTATGTCGACGTTATCAGCCAACGCGTAAAACCTTCATAACAGACCCACCAAATTTCGCGCATGCAATCTCGGAAACCGAGCTAAAAGCCTCTTGAAATAAGCAGGTCGGATTTCGAGTTCCACCACCGGCAAATAGTGCGTATTCAGCCGACCCGAGAGCGTATCGTCGAGCCACGGGCATAGTCCTTCCTCCTCGAAGGATGCCGCGCAGATTATAAT